GTTGGATTTGATTTGTCTAGAAATTTTGTTTCTGTATCTCTGAGATAATCATCTGTAGTTTTCTCTTCTTTTAATATCTTTCTCTGTATGATTTTGATCCCTTGACATTTGTTGAGACTTACTTTATGGCTCAGCGCATGATCCATCTTGGGAAATACTCTATGTGCACTTGAAAATAATGTGTATTCAGCAGTTTTTAGGTGTATCATTCTATAAATATCAATTAGGTTAGGTTGGTTGATGGTGTTGTTCAAATCGTCTACATCCTTACTGATATATAATCTGTTTGTATAATCAGTTACTGAGAGAGGAAAGTTGGAATCTCTAAAAATGACTGTGGACTTGTACATTTCTCTTTAGTAGTTTCATATTTTTGCTTTATGTATTTGAGGCTCTGACATTAGGTTCATAAAAAGATTTCTATGTCATCTTAATGAACTGACCATTTACTCATTATAAAACATCTCTATATCTAATACTACTACTTGTCTTGAAGTGTACTTGGATTAATAGCAATGTAGTCACACCAGTTTTCTTATGTTTAGAGATTCCATTGTGTGTATTTTCCATATTTTGGCTTTCAACCTATACATGTCTTTCTATTTCATGTGCGTTGGCTTTAGTAGAATATAGTTGAAGCTTGTGTTTTAATTTTTATTCAGACTGAACATCTCTGCTTTTTATTTGAGGGGCTTAATCCATTTGTATTTAATATAATTACTGATATGGATGGATTTAATTCTGCTTTCTTGATATTTGCTTTATATTCAACCCATCTGATCTCTCTTCCTCCTTGCTTTCCTTCCTATGGATAAATGAAGCATTTTTAGCATTCCATTTTATCTCTGAATGGACCTTCAGTTATACCTATTTTTGCCTATTTTTAAAAATGGTTGCTGTAAAAATTATAATGTGTCTAAGTTATCACAGTCTACCTTCAAATAATATCACAGAACTTCACAAATCAACAAAACGTTGCAACAGTATAATTACAGTGTTCCTACCTACGCTTTGTGGTCCTGTTGTCATGTAGTTCTCTTCCACATAAGCTAAAAACCCCACAAATACATTTTTATTATTTTGCTTCAAATATCCAGTAGCTTTTATCCAAAAATTCATATATGTTATGTGTGTGTATCTTTTATATTTACTTGCAAATTTACCATTTCTGGTTCTTTTCATCGCCTTTGTAGATATTGGCTTCTATATGATACCATTTTTCTTTAAGCCACAGAACCTCTTTCAGCATTTCTGGAGTATGAGTCTCTTCCAGACACAGATTCTTCCCGTTTCCCCTACAGTTTTGAACAATATAAAAGTCTAAATTGACAGGATTTGTTTGGTCTTTTTTTCCTTTTCAGTACTTTAAAGATGTCCTTCCACTGTTTTATGGTCTCTAATGAGAAGTAAGACTTCATTCTTATAATCATTCCCCTACACGTTAAGGGGTCTTTTTCCCCTGAGGATACCTTTAAGATTTCCTCTTTATCTTTGGTTTTCCCCCAATTTGATTATGATATGCCTAGATTTGCATTTACCTTGCTTGAGGTTCACTAAGCTTCTCAGACCTATGTTTTGATAAGTTTTGCCAATTTTGGAAAAGCCCCAGCCATTATTTCTTTAAATATTTCTTCTGCCTCTCTCTCTTTCTCTTTCCGTTCTAGGATTCCAATTATACTTGTGGGAGAGTTATTTGAAATTGCACCATGTATCTTGGATGGTTTTTTCCATTTTGCACTCTTTTCTACAATATAATCTTTTTTTAAATAAACTTATTTATTTTTTTAAATTTTTGACTGCGTTGGGTCAACCCTTCGGAGGGCTGAGGTGTGCTCAGAAAGGCCTGGAGTCCCTTGGAAGGACATCTCTCGGTCCTTGTCCGCTTCTCCCACCCTCCAGTGTCCTATCTCCAGCACTCAGTGCTCTGTGCGGTCTGCCTCTGGGCTCTACCCTTGCACCAGTCTCTGCTGTCAACAGTCCCTAAACCCTGGGCTGCCTTCTCCCCCTCCCCACCGTGGTTCCTGCCTGTGGGAAAGCAGCGGTCGCCTTCTCTCCCCTAGAATGAGCTCATCACTTTCTGAATTTTCATTCAGGTTTCTTTGTATCCTAGCTTTCTGGGTTTTGTTTTTGTCTCTTGAGGCTATGGTTTAGTAGCTCATTTGGCTTATTCCTGCTGTTGGG